TTAATGGAATTTATCGTCTCTAAAGTTGACGCCGCCTTGCATAATCAGATGGATGTCGTAGTTTTCTAGATTGTGAAAAACAACCAGAATTACAATTTGGCCAGGCACAGTCTGGAGTTTGAGGTTGCAACAAGCGTGCACTGTGCCTTTAAACTTATCCGTCACGTGACAGTGGTCTCTGACTTTTCTAAACTTGTTGATTTTCTTTTCACAATGCATACTGGTGTATTCTATATAACCCTTTGTCATTTATGAACAAAGTCTCGTTTTTTTCTGGCAGCTTGCACTGGCAAACGCTTGCGCTGGTCCAAGGGCCAGAAACCCGTAGGACATAGTTGGGGTACACAGGTTTTTCGCAAATCCAACATGTGCCGGTTTGGTTATATTGTTTTTGTTCTTTGTAGGTCCAAGACAGCAGAGGTGGTTTTAAAAACTTTTCATTAATTTCGTCTCGTTCCCAAACCAGAGATTCAACAAAATGTTTTGGTGTGTCAGGGCCTCTGTAGGTCCGTTGACTAGTGCTAACACCGTCGCATTGAACCATGACATAAGAATACCCCAAAGCTTCATGAATCTTCTTTTTGTTTTTGCGTTCTTCCTTTTTCGCTCAGCTGGGGCAAAATCAAACACTCAAAATCAGCGTAAATCACAAAAGGAGTCTTGTTTGTGTTAATAGTTTTAAACTGCAACAGGTTTCTATCCATGTCTGGAAATACCACTTTCGGAAGAGTGCAGTCTATACCTTGGCAGTCTTGCTTGTGCGCATCTAACTTTTTTTGCTTAGAAAAATGTGACAAACGACGATAACAAAAATACTTTTTGGTAGCCAACTTCACTAGATAAAAGTCGAGAAAAATCTTTGATCCAACGCTAGTGAAAAGTTTCTGGTTCGGTGCCAGGTTGTCGGCTAAACAAGAGTAAGTTCACAGGTTCTTCCGAGAGGTTCTCTTAGACACTCATAGAGTAAACACCTTGTCTTCTTTCGGATATCTAATATGTTGATCGCCAACTTGTTCTAGGTTTAGATGCGAGCGACTTGAGACCGGGGGGGGGAGTTAATGTTGTTAACATTTAACCCGTCCAACTCCGTGTAATACATTTTAGGTTACATTGCATCTGGGTTTTGAATTTATCTTTGTAAACACTAAGGGCAGCTCTCAGACTCCATCAGATACACTCTTGGTCTTCATTTTTTATGTTAGTGATTGCCTTTTTATTTTTTAATTAACCAGCTGGGTAGTGCCCAGTAGTAGTGGTACAAGAGCTACCTCTCAAGGGTGCACATCGAGTCACGTTGATATAAAATGCTATGTGATGTGTTCGATGGCCCAACCTGATTTTCTCTGCGTAAAGACTTCCATTTTCTCTAAGATACATGTATATTCTCGTTGCTCTGCTGACTTATGGTTAACGTCACCTTTGTTTAACACCATGTTGGTTCTACTTGAAAACACAAATTCTTCTGTGACTGTGTCTTTTTGATCTTGCCTTTGTTTTAATAAACTTGACCTCCAGCACTGTCTGGAGTTTGAGGCTCTTTAGTTCTTTTAACTTGGATGTTACTTTAGCTTTAATCATTGCGCATTTGCGTTTTAAAATTGCATGGGATCCGTGTTAAACAATCGAGGTACAAGTTCCCAGTTTCTAAAGTTGTCTTTAAACCTCCTAGTCTGTTTGAAGTTGGGCTCTTTTAACGAGTCTGGTACAATGTGCACTTTGATCACATTGATATGGTCTTTCCTAAGCAACCAGCCTTTTTTGCCCATGCCAGTGATTTCCCAATTGATTGTTTCGAGCTATATCCAATAATTCGTAGTAGTTTTTTACGTTAAGTTTTTTAATTGGGTTTGGTTTGCATGTACATAAACATGTATGGCATAGATGTAATCTTGATGCGCATGTTTAACTTCCATTGGCAGCGTGATGTTATACTTAATTAACATACAGTGTAGTCTATTAACACAGATTTATGCCATCTGGAATAGTTTTTTGCTGAAGGTCTTACCAGCCTCAAGTTTATATGTCAAGATAAAATATTTGTTTCATTTTTTTCCTCTGCCCAGCACTCCTTACACTGATATTTATTTCTACTGTGTTGTTCGCAATTTCTTGGTGTACGAATTTTGCAAGCAGATTTATATTTACCGTGTTTGCAAAATAAGTCTTTTCTGCATTAATCACAGTTTTTTTTTTGTTTTACTGTTTGGACATAAACAGAGGGGTCTGCATTGTTGGCATTTGTACTTATCTTTGCCATGTTTACAAGTTACCCAGAGTTTATGGCGACCTAAACACAGCAAACAGCAAGTTTTTCAACTTCTAGACTCTTTTTTTTGTTTTATAGTCTGTTTGTGGTTTTTGCTTTTCTACATATGATACACGTTTTAGTCTTCGTATCTTTATTTCTTTAATTTTTTTTTCTCAGTTTTTACAGATATCACAAAGGCGAGAGGTCATTTTAGCCGCTTGGTTGTGTGAGCCTTCTAAGGGGGTGCAAAGGCATGAGGGTTCTTGGGGGCGGCAGAAAATAAATCTGCACCCAACAGGCCGACAAGGCTAAAGGGCGTGATGAGGGAGCCAGAGGGAGCCTTTTGAGAGGCTAAGGGGTCTTTTTTTAATGGTTGACAAAAATGGGAAAAGTGCGAGGGTAGGTACTCTAGGGGATGGATAAGAAGAGGTCTGGGTTTTCAGAGTTGTTGACACATAAAAAACAAGAGGAAAAAAGAGTTGATATTCGGATTCTCATCCATTTCCCCTTGGGTAGGTACCCAAGGATTATTTTGAATTTGAAAAAAAAAAATTTGAAATTGACAAAAACGAACAAAATCCATGGGTAGGTACCAAGGGTGAAATGGGTGAGAATTGGATTTGGTCTAGAACTGTCCTTTCCCATACTACTGTGGCATCACCACAAACCTTGTGACGTACGCGTTTCATTATTTTCCCCAATTGCCTTGGGACATCTCTGTGCAGGCGCTCAGCTGCAAACGAAACTGAAATTTGTGAATGAGTACTTGGCGTCCACTGGTAGGGAAGAAACAAAACTTTAAAATGGATATTGCCAATACCCTGTTATTTGTGACCCACCATTCCAAAAGCAGGCTGAAGAAGGTAACTTCATAACCCTGAAATAGAGGAACTTTCACTGTTCACAGACTGGTTTTGATTTTCACAGGAGTTTTACAGCTATTACTACCTGTAAGAAGCTTCCTGCAGACAGAATTTAGATTGAATATGGATCACTTTGACGTGTAAAAAAAGCTGACAGAGAGGAATTGTCCAACATCACAAATACCAACTTCAGCCTGGTTTTGGAATGGTGGGTTACATTTTAAAACCTGCAAGATTTGGACCTGTAGGGCAAACAGGAGAAAAATTTCCATGTGAGGATTTTTCCCTGCAGTGACCTCTTCAGCCATCTGAAAGCAATAACATGACCTGAAAACTCAAATAGAGGGATCCCAATACGACGCTTTTAGCGTCGATCTGCGCACTTCCGCGTTTGAAAACAAGGCTGTATGTGTCAGCTTCAATTCTTAATACGATCAGACGATTGAAAGTAAGGAGTCAAGACACAAAATACATAAAGGTATGTTAAATTCAGACTTTTCAGGCTGCAAATTTTTGTTGAAGAGTCTTTCAGGAAAACTCGACACGTAAAATCAAAAGAAAAAATAACGACAATTGACCGCAAACTAACGTACCTGCGATGGTCGTGTATCTTGTGCAGTGGGCGTGGTTTAACCTGGAGTGGCGTCACACTTACGAACCGGATACTCCATTACTGTGTGGACTCCGTGGGCGGGCGCGACGAAGTTCAACACAGAGAGCCTCTGTTTCAATGCAGATATGCGCAGACGCCGCTAATGTGAAATCCCTCTATTTAGAAGGGAAAATACTGAAGGATTCACCAAGAAAACACTTGAAAATTTCAGACCAGTCTCTGAGTCTCATGTGGTTTATGCACGGGGTGTCAAGGGTGTCCGTACATACACCGGTATATGGAATCCTTTCTGGCTAATATCCTAATCATGGCCATACATGTATTCTGTTACTGCACTGCCCAGCACCCCTTGCAGGGTTTGAGAAAATTGGCTTTTGTCGTTCTTGATGCTTCATACGATTAGTGGAATAGAAAAATGTATAATGACATAGCCAGCACATCGATCCAAAAATTTAGTAACTTAAGATACTTTCAGCCTTATCAAATTCCAGTGAAAATGAGTGCAAGAATTTGGTCAAGTTAAGGAGATGAACATCTATGCATTGTACATGTACATGTATGTGTGCCATTGTATCTTGATTGACTTTGACCCAAATGCAATGTCATATGCTTGTGTACATGCATTTGTTAGTGCATGTACGGTAGAATTCAGCTGTGTACATTTGAAAAATATCTTGTTTCTGCTCACATTGAGCTGTTCTAAGATTCAAAACCAGTTGTTTGTAAGTTTGACTTTCTCTGAAAAATGAAGAATTTTGTTTCTGACAGTTTGTTCACACTTTGAACTGTTCTTCCAAGTATCCATCTTCAGCCTACATGCTCATTCTGGAGTTGTTTTAGCTAATGTCTTGCAATTATTTTTGCACCATTTTTTTTTCAATGAATGTCAGACAGTTTCCTTGCAAAATGCCTACTTTTCAAGATGGATCCCATGTTGCAGGAAGGTGTTACCCTTTTTTCAGTGGTTGTGTTCTCTGAATGGGCTGACTTGAATGAGTGTGTGAATGACACATGTATGTACATATGTATGTAGTACAAATGACCATAGCAAAATTGTTGTCACATTGAATTGAAACATAATTGATTTGTTTCAACGAGACTGGTCATGGGATAGCTATGATTTCTAGGGATTCCCCCCACCCATCTTCAAGGTAAAAAAGTGACCCTCTGATCAAGTCCTATATAAATGAACTTCAAGTACTTGTGTTTGACTAATGTTTGTTGAAGCGTTTCTACCGGTAGTTGTGTTGTTAATGTGGCCTCTTGTCTTGTACAGTTTTTTCCAGGTTGTACATCAGTCAGCATGGATGCTTCTATGGATGGTCTGCCCACCGCTGAGCGTACAACGTTAGTGGCCATTACCGATGCTTCCTTCAACAGTACTACAGTCAGCAATCTCACGCCTCTCACATAGCAAACAAGGTAAAGCAATTTATATGATAAACACCTGACAGAGGAGAGCCCAGAATTTCTCACTGATGGGATATTGACCCCATTGGCTTAATATCCCCTGTCAAGAATTTCTCAGTTTAGCTGAAAGTGATAAGCGGCACTGAAAAGCCAACTCACCCAGCTTCATTATTTCAAAATTCTGAGAATTAGTTTGCATTTGAATGGGCAAACTTAAGGGTGCTACTAGTCAGCTGCGAGTGAATCAGGGCTGGATGCAATGGCAGTGGAGCATTGACTGAGATCCCCCAAGCAATCTCCTTTGTAAGAATAACCAAGCAGCATGACTATAGAGGGCGCTTTCTCCAGAACACAGAGAATGGTTCTTCAGAAAGACATCACACTCTGGAAACTAGCGAGTCCACAGTCAGTGGAGCATTAATTTATGAAGCATTTCTTATATTACTGTCTGATTCACATGAGTGGGAGTGGAACACAGAATACTGTAATCCATGTCCCACATACCATGAAGCCGAATACATCTTTAACCCCCTTGATGGCAGGATTTTTTAACCGTATCCTGCCTGCCTGCTGGAATTCATTTCCAATTTTGCTAACGGCAACCACAGACACCTAGCTTAGCCACAAGGCCTTATCTGCCAAGTTTGCCGAGTCACATACTGCACACAGCTTGGCTCTGTGTGGTCATGAACCTTGCTGGGGTATTTGGATCCCATCCAACATAATACCAGGCACCCAGCACTTGCCTTGCCCACGCAACAACACTAACTACCCAAGGACGCTCTGTCACAGCGGAAAGTGTAGCACCCGCTAGATTCACACGCTCTATGCTTGCTACAAGCGGGCACCGTGGCTCGTGTGCCTGCTCCCCAGTAGTCCATGCATGCCCAGTATCAATGCCCAGCATCAATGCCCAGCTCCCACTTGTACATCGAGTGCGCTTCACAAGTTTTTATTTCATCTAATACCCAGTCAAGATTACCCGTAAAATTTGCCTCTTAAGTTCGCACGTAATTTTCTTGCAAATTTCTGAGTTTTGTTTTTGCAAGTTGTATTCAAATCCCCTTTCTGAATGTAATGTTTATATAAAACAGCCCCTTCTAAGTGAACTTGGAACCACCCCATGAAAATTATCTTCCCCAAATAATCTTCCCCATAATTATTAAATAAACAGACGCAAACAAACACAAGACCAATTTTTCCCACTTTTCTTCTTCTCTTGACGACTTGTCATTTCTTTTTTCTCCTCTTATATTTGCAATCATATTTACACTTTGTCTGTTACTGGAAACTTTCTCCTAAAATAAATGGATCCTCCTTGTAAAAAGGGAGAGTAGTTGCATTACATGATGTCTTGAAATTAGAGAAAACTCTTGAGAAACACTTAGCCAAAAAAGGGCATCGAATGGAGAGTGGTTCCATAACACGTTCTATTGGAATAGAGGAAATTGTACATGAATATTTAAAGTAATTGATTCAAGTATAATAAACCTTGAAGGAGTTGCCCTAAAGTTTCATATACTATTTCATTTACGTCTTGGAATAAAGAAAAAATAAATAAGCAATTGATTCAAGTGTGATAAACCTTGAACAAGGAGCAGCGCAAAGTGGAACATCACAAATTTCACACATCAATTTAGTCTCTTTTCTTTTGCCATTTCTAGAACAAACATCACACCGTCTGTATAATTTAGCTCATTTTCCAGTTGGGGGAATTTCTACAGCAAAATGTCTTCCTATCAGTCTACCCAGACCAGGAAGATGGGATGGTATACCTCTAGATCAAAACAATGGCAAATTTGGTGCATGCAACTCTAAAATTTCATTGACTATCAATTGTCTAAATGACAAATAACTGTCAGTGCTACCAATTTCCTTATACACAAGATAAGAGTTTACAAGAGCAACATCAAGCAAAAATAAGAACACTTTTTTATACCATTTCTTTGATTTTCTGACTGAATGGTGTGACGATGCCAACTGGTCTGCAATGTCCACACCCTTCATCCCCTCGTTGTAGTTGAGTCACACTTGGGTTTTTCCAAAGCTATGCCAATTGCCGGTGTCAGCTGTATGCATCGTGGACAGCATATGGACACCTTTTTTGTCTCGCCAGACCAAGGCGAGCAAGTCTTTGTCGCTGGAGCGGTGAACAACATCACCTCCCTCAAGTTTCAAGGAGCACAAGTCCTTTGGCATGTCTTGACGATTTTGTCTTACCGTCCCAATGACATTTGTCTTCTGGGCGTGTAGTTTCAGGTACAGTTCAGGGCTGCTGAACCAGTTGTCCGGGAAAATGGTGGACCCTTTGCCCAGAAGATCGGCGTTCAAGTCAAGTACAATTTTAGTACTTGCCTGTCCAACAGTCTCGTGTGAACCGGTGTAAATTTTGAAGTTCCAAGTGTATCCAGTGCCAACCCCCATGCCCTGACAGACACGATACACCTTGATGCCAAACCTCGCACGCTTCTTGGGGTTGTACTGCTTGGACTTCAGTCCCCCTTTGAATTTCCAAAGGGACTCGTCGGTAGTAATGTTGCTAGACGGAATGTACACGGACTTAAACTTCTCGGTCAGTTCGTCTTCCACCTGGCAGAGCTTGTAGAGTTGATTGGTCGTACATGTATCTGCATGGTTGTTATAGACAAAATGCAGACGGGACAGCAAGTCCGCAAATCTGTCAGGTGGCATGGTATTAGGAAAAAAATGGAGTCTCAAGTATTAAGTCTCTCGTCCAGTAGGACTTCAAGTTGAGTTTCGGCATCAGTTCCATGACGATGATCATGGACAGGAATATTGTGTCGAACCAGCTTCGCATGTGAGTTGGACTTGCTCTTGATTGACTTTTCGAGTGTTCAGCGGCATAGCGGTTGGTCTCGTTGGCAATGTGCAACGTCAGCTCTGGGGTGAAGAACTGCTCTTAAATTTTTAGAGGAGTGCTGTTCTTGTCCTGTTCTTGCACTTGAACACCTGCTGTGCCTTGACCGCCGTGTCGGTAGAGAAAGTTGTCATCATCCATCCATTGAATGGACGAAGAAGCCTTGACCTTCTTGGCTGGCCCCTCTAACGGTGCTTGCCCCTTCAGAATTGCTGTCAGTAGTTTCAATTTCTGAGCTATGTTCAGATTCCGACGTGAAATCTGAACCACTAGTCGAAGTTTCCTTTTCACTTGAAGATATCGTGTAATGTAACTGAAGGGCTGGGAAGCAGCCAGGCAAATATACACCCAGCGCTACAAAAAAACGCTGCTTTTTAACAAAACAAATGCCCAATTATGCTGAATAATGGCCTGTCTATATCCCAAGTGCATGGTGCTGGAGATAATTTGCATAATTTGTTTTGTTTGTAGTTCATCAGTAGAGCAGACGTCTTTGTGAAATCTTATCAAAACTGATATGACTGAATTGATACAAAATTGGAATGAAAAGGAAGAAAAGGCATTAATTTTGATGTCGAAACAGGCAGGGTGAGTTTAATGTTAGGAACACATTGTAGTTGAATTAAATGGACTAGACTCAAGTCGATCGTAACAAAAAAACCTGAGAATCTTATCTCAACATCTTATCTCAATCCTCCTCTAATTTTTGTGTTTGTTCTGAGATGCAAGTTTATCTGGAGTATACAGTACCCACTAATTCATTTGTGTTCAAATCACAGCATACAAGGTAAATCTTGCTTTTGTAAGACGAACTGTCGGGACATATCTATGCACGCATGTGGATTCAGTAGACTTCCTTCAAGGCACAAGGCTTTGCACAAAGGTGGTCTCTTCAGGCATGCAGTAGTGCCAGTTATCCTTCTGTCAGACTTAGGCAGAGACTGTGTAGAAATCTGGAACATTGATTACTTTGCATTCATGAATACCCCAGACAGTCTCCCTAATCAACACATGCAACTTGACTGTGTAATAACACTGATAATGCCCACTGAGAAGTGATAATACCCTCTGTGTAAATCAAGCACTGGCACCTGGATATGAGATGGTTTAATCAATTCTGATTGGTCAACAGTCTGTGTGCATGTGGTTCGCCATGCTTGTGCCAAGTCCATATATTGAAATTCTCTTGGACACTTTGCTAAAGAAATACACCATAAAATTGATGGGGTGTTTGAGAAAGGGAAAGTAAAATTCTTGAACAGAATCCTTGGAAATTTATCTTTAATATATTGATTTTCTTTGACTCTCTGTCTAAAATTGTATTTATGATTGGGAATAAATATGTGCTTGGTCGGCACATTTAAGACTCTGCTCAGGAAAATGAACGCTGATATAATGTCGCGTCCCTTCTCCTGAGCTGGTCTTATCCACATATTTATTTCCTAATTAAAATTTTGCCCAGCATTGTCACTTGGCCTCTGTGATGGCTACATTGCTGACGTGTGTGGGTTATCTGAAGAGAAGCTGCCAGTCTGTACATGTAGATTTGTTAGTTGTCATGGTCGATACATATAATTTCTCATCCAACCTGTCCATCAGTACCACAAAACATCCCCAGATAAAACTGTAGTAGGAAAACATTTGCCACAAAGTCACGTATGAAATACATGTATCTGCTTTAATTCAAAGCATGAATACATTGAAGACGAAAGATGCATTTCACAACGTGTACATGTGCGTAAAAGAGGGTAGCATTGTTGATGTCAAAGACTGTTCCTTGACGTCAGCTTCAATGAATTGAGCAAGCTGCAATGTGTATTTTCACAAGATTGCACTTCACAAGTTCACTGTTTTCAATTTAAATCACAAATACGACTCACCCCACCCACTGAAATAAAGTTCTTGATTTCTGGAAGAACTAGCTGAACTCTTCATTGAAAAATTTCGATACTCTGATTTTTTTCCCGGTGATCTTTAATTGATAAGCTTTACATTGTCAAACTTTGATCAGACATGTACCGGTACATGTATAGCACTGATGTTTAGTGGTTCCCACTCCTTCCAATTTCATGTACACATGCGTGTATTTAAGTGCAAAGTGTGGTCTATTGACACAGGATACCAGATTGTCAATTCTATATACAGCTGTGCAAGGATTGTAAAATTGAAGGAAAAAAAAGAAAACCTTTCGATTTTTGCTTACAGTGGTCATAAACTTTAAAATTTTGCTGTGACAAAGTTGAAAGTTCATTGCATTGCGATAGTAAACTTTGAAATCTGCATAACC